TCCATAAACCTTCTGGATCCAGCTTAAGGGGGAGTATTGGAAGTCGGAAGTTGTCCTGTCAACTTTTTCCTGTCAACCTTTTCCCTTAATTCAAAGGGCTGTTATTTATTTTCCCTAAGCCAGACAACTTCCTTAATTCAAGGGTGTCAACTTTTTCCTGTCAACTTTTTCCCTTAATTCAAGGGGCTGTTATTTATTTTCCCTAAGCCACCTGTTGTGGCGTAAAGCAAGAGGTTAATCCTCTTATATATTGCTGTACAATTGTAAAAGAACTCATGAGAAAAAATACAATTCAATCCTTGAAAAACAATATGGACTGTTGAGAAGTTTTAGCTAAGCCTTCCTGTTGACTGATTCCGTTGTGATCTCCGGTGAGTTTTTTGGCGGGAAGCTTTGATTTCAAACTTGGTTTATCAGATCTGAACTAAACATAATTAATCAAATAAGAATCAACAAGGTGACAGGCTAGGCAAACTATAAACAAATACTAAAATAGGTTTTCGAACAAGGCAACAGGCTAGGCAAACAGCCACATCAGCATCAAAGTACAAATTTGCCTTTAAGTTTTTCCTAATCCCTTGGAGATGCTATTACACATATGCATGAGATGACAATTCTTTTGTGTTTCAGTGGATACAGCACAATCGGGTTGAGCCAGAAGCCGCCAATCAGTTCATTAGGCTCGGGTAGGCATTTATCAAGGGTTTAAATATGATGGGCTCAACCCACTAACCTGCAGGCTAAAAGCCTTACCAGGCCTCCCCGAATTGGGTGATTTAGGCCCTGTTTGGCACACCGTATAACGGATCGGATAGTATTAATAATACGGTGTACGGTGTTTGGTGACAGTTCGGATTAAATAAGCACCGGATTAAATAATCCGGGCCCACCTTTTTTACACGGTGTGTACCCGCTTGCTTATACCATCCATTTTCACGGTATAATTAGTCGGGCTCTCTTGTCTCCCGACGCAATCTTCCGCTTTCTCTCCCGACGCAATCTTCCGTTTTACCCTCCTTCCATTTCTTTTCATTTTTCCATTTTCCACCAGATCTGACAAAAATCTTCGAACCAAAAATTTAGCAAAATCCCACAGTTCCCTTTTTTGAAAGACCATCATCCTATTTCCCTCAACTTCCCCATTCTTTCCCCAAAATTTCGATTCCCCCCACCACCACCACCGCAACCTCTTAACGCAGCGTTTCATTCTCTTCCTCTCCAGACGCCATCTTGCTCTCATCCCAGGTATGTCTTCTCACAGTCTTCTTCTTCGTTTGAATCACATTTTCGTCTTTTCAATTTTCTTCTTCTGGGATTCCGCCCCTCCCTCTATTCTTCCCCCTCCTATTTTTCTTGCAATTGATTGAATCTGTTTATTATTTTCTCTCTAATTATGCAATTGATTATGTAAATTTGTGTTTTTACATCACTCTATCCATTTTTTAATTTTTATGTGAATTTTACTTTTTTATCTGGATATATATATGTGTGAATAATTTCGGACTAGGGTTGTTGAATTGTTGATTGGCATTGAATTGTTGAATTTCGGACTAGGGTTGTTGAATTGTTGATTGGAATTTTTATCTGGATATAGATATGTGTGAATATATACGTGACAACCACAGAGGCCAAATTAGAATGGAAAAAAAAATAATATCAAATTAACAAAACACAAGGCAGGAAACTTAACTCAAAATTAGTACCAAAGTTGCTTGTATCTTTATACGAATCAATAAAGCATTATATTAGAGTCTAAAAGCTAAGAAAGATTTGTTAATTTTTTTTCTCTTGTCCTATCCGGTTCAATACCAAACACAGTATAAATAATACGGTCATTAATCCGATACTGCACCAAACGCCCGACTAATTTAGTCAGTACTATCCGGTGGCTATTTATCCTATCCGACAGAAATAGTCAGTACAGTCCGAGCTGCCAAACGAGGCCTTATAGGATAACATAGTCCACACTCCAAATATAAGAATAAGATGTTCACCTATGACTATCTTTGACATTATTCTGTGGATTACAAAATCAAAAGCCATCTTTTGGAAACCAAGATTTAATTATATAGTAGCTCAACAATTTTCGGTAAAGCGCGCATGTGAAACTACGATACAAGAGAATAAAAACGAAACAAAAAATAACAATTCTATATTCCACATGGAGAACCGGGAAGGTACGAGTTGTGATTAACTACTCACCTAAAATTATTAGGATGTCCTACTAACCTGAGTAATTTAAAGCGTGCTTAATGTGACCTCATATATTAAATTATGGAGAAAATTAGAAGACACGCATTTACCCAGTTAACTTAGACTCCATTACACAATCAATCACTTTAATATCCGTTTTAGTTATACAAGGCTTGGTAGGAAGGTATGAGATATATTATACATATAATGTATGAAATTTGATACAGCAAATGGATGGAAATTCTCAACTTAATGGTTGTAGTTTCTAGCTCATGCACTCTTGATATCGGAGGTCTTTAATTTGTAGCTAAAAAAATTAATTAAGTGGTGATAATATCCCACTTATAGCAAATTGCACTCAAATACTTACAAAAACAAAGAAACTTATTCGCATTTGTTTATTGTCATATTTATTTTCTATATAAATGCTTATGTCGTCATTTTATTAATCTAAATTACAAATTTAGATATGAATTTACTGAATTAATAGTCTAAATTTACGGTTTGACAACTTTAACATGAAAACATTTTCCTTAAAATTTATCCAAATGATAAGGCCAGCTAGGAAATGGTTTAGATTTAGCTATATTAAGATTTTGATGACATCCAATGTATCAAAACCATTTATGAATTTTTTTTATTAGAAAAATCATAAGAAGAAGAAAGAAAAATAAATTATCTTAGCATGGCATGTGGCAAGCTATTATTAATGTCCAAGTGGATTATCAGATTGAGTGAATTATATCAAGTGCAATACAGCAAATCCATCCATGATCAATGTCTCTAGACCCACAAAACCCAATGGCAAATGCCCATGCGTGGTGCAATTTTGGTGTTTGTGGGTAGTTGGACTCCAAAAGTCCTTGTTATTTATATCAGTTCATACGCATGTTACAATATGTGGTTGATGGTTGCACTTTTGAGATCAAAACGACGTGATGTTTCTCTCTCTATAGATAAAATAGGAAATTTGGGTTTTCCCCACTGTTCAACCAAAGCCATAAGTGGATCACATAGTCGGTTGCACTCAAAAAGGAGCTTACAGATTTGTCAATGGGATTGTCTTAGAAACCACTAACATTCTACAAGCGCAGTAATGAATGACATGGGCAAGAGATAAGTAATTGAGCACTAATGGGATTCAAAAACACTCAAATCCTGGAATAATTTTTTATCCTTCTAGAGTGAGTTCTTCCCCATCTTGAATGTTCAAAACCAATCTATAGAGTCAATACTAACACTCATGTATTTTTACTGTAGATTAGTTATAAAATTATGTGCGCACTAGGTTTATCAAAACTAAAGATGATTTTTTAAATCGCCGGCACAAGGACACCACCATGGACAAAAATTTTACACGTCTTTATTTTGTTTGCGCAAGGATGTTATCGGGGTGATTTACCTGTGTCATGTAAGTTCTTCTCGCTTTTTAGAGAGAGTGATAGACCTCCGGCATGCCAACATTCCTTGTACACTGTAGGCTAGTTAGAATGTTTTGGTCTCAATCCAATAGGCAATAACTACCACTTTATACTATACTATTAATTAGTAAGGATGCATAGTAGCGTTCAAAGATCACTCTTTGGCCTTTAGACTCACTTCAACGACTTCGCCCTTTAAGTGACAAGAGGGAGGGTGGTAAGGAGTAGTGTAAGAGTGGTTCGGTCATCAACATGCCTCTCCTTATTCATTCTATAGGGCAGGGCTACGGACTAACAATTCAGCAAAAGGGCTTAAAAGCTCCTTTATCAAACCTTCCCCTTTGAATAATAATAAGGTAAGCTCGCACCATTCTCATTTCTAGACCCATATATATATTAAAAGGTAGAAAAGAAAATGTGAAGATTTCTTGTATGGGTAAATACTTTTAACGACTTAAACTAAAAGCCACTTGTACATGAAGTTAGTATATAAAAATTTCATCAAACGCATACCTAATAGTTCACACCTATGTACCGAAAATTGCTTTTGACAAAACCCCTTTTTTTTTCTTCACTCGAAGCCCAAACAAAGTCTTGAAATAGTAGTCAAATATCTTACATGTTAATCTTAAACCTCCACAAAAAACAAATATCCTGATAACAATTTAAGTAAGTGATTTTCAGTCAACGAAAATAAGTGCGAAAGAAGAAAACCGAAATATGAAAATCGTAACCATAATTCTTTGCATGTCTCAATTACACGGTGACAGCCAACATTTCATTGCGCGACAATTAAAGCATGATTACTGGGAGAGTTATGATGACTCTAATCCCAAATATTATAAAATAACTTTGTGCAACCAATCTAGAAAAAGCAATAACTTATGGCATGTGGTGGTTCGGTTTGACGCGAGCACACAGAATGATATAGCATTGCACCAAGTCCAGGACTGAAGGAAACCCAAGGCCATAAGGTGTTTTGGTTGGTCGTTTTGTTTTGGAATTCCATGTTTCCAACTGACAAGATGAACTAGTCAAAATACACAGAGCTTCCCATTAGTGAGGTTTTGGCTGATGCATGAACAACCAATGATCCACTTCTCTAGTTTCATAATTTATATCATGATATTATCCACAAAATCCCTTAAATAGGCTTATTCCTTAGCAGCGGTGTACTTAAATAGGCTTATCCTTAACAGCAGTGAACTCCTGTCATATAATTTCTTTTCGTTCAGCATTTTAATCATGTTATAAGTATTATAAAGAGTGGAATATACAGTCGAAAGCAACATCCACTTCCAGTATGTTGACCACCCAACTGTGGTCAACATTGATGACCATATGTTAGGGTTTGGAAAATCGGAAGAAAAATATTAAAATAAAAAATTGCAAAATCAGAAGGCAATTTATCCTTATCTCCCCAGAGTTCCATAAAACGGTCAAGAGAATATAATAATTTACACAAACCACTATAAACTCATGATTCAAAGAGCCTTTCTCTAACCTCACCCATCTCTCAACTACATACAAAGTCCCAACAAAAGGAGTCAAAGTCATTCATCACATACTCTCATCTACTGACCTCAAACATGAGCTCAACACTAAAACACCCTAGCAAATAACCACAATCCTAAATCAGCTTCATCGGCTAATTAAACTCCAAAACAAAAGGTTAACAAAAACCAAATTATCCCAAGAGAGGAGTTTAGCTGTCAATCACTTTCATTTTCAAGTGAAGGAGTTCTTTTAAAGGTAGTGGCACTGGCCACGCCTAATAGTTGTGAAGTAGTTGAAGTCATGGTGCTGGACCTTAAGTTGCTTTAGCCAAGAATCCGCCACGCTCAATAGCGACATGAGCCTCTCTTGGTCCCTTCCACAGTTGCCTGAGACCCACACACTCCCTTGCATCTTGTAAGTGGCCAAACCAAATGGAGGGAGAGAGATGCCTTCCCCTTTCTTTCGCTTCCGTTGCTCATCGTTCTCAATATCGTCCTCAAGGTCCATGTCTACATTGAGTGCATACCGGACGTGTAAGTAAATATCGTGCATATACATAGCTATTGGAGAACTTAGATATTTATGGTGAAAAGGGCCTGAGCATGGAAACAAAACCAAGTGAACTGGACGTGGAGAATAAATACCTTGAAATGAAGATGAAAGGGTGTGGTATGTGAGGAAGGATGTGGACAGATCCTTTATAGTCCTTCCCATCGGAATGTGATAAATTGGGTACCTGAAAATAATCACATCAAGAAAGTTAAATTAAATTCTGCTTTCTCCTAATAAGGAAGCATTCGCATCTGTGTAATTACGGTCATTTATAAGCAGTATTTATTATCCACAACGTGCAAAAATAACTGACATCTGAGTGATTTTCCAAAAATGTTGCACATTCTGTGTTTTTCATAAGCAACAAAACAATAAAGTTTAGTAACATGCTCAAGACAGATTGCACGCTTTACTCTGATTCTATTTAGGTAATTATTTGGGTGTCACGTGTTAAGGCGCGAAAGAAAGAGAGATATACCAAGAAACAGCCATCCAACTAGCTGGTGAGAGATCAACACTCCTTAATGACATCAACCCTGGGTATCGTTGCGCTAATGTATTGATCTGCAAGCGCATAACGAACAAAGTGTCAATCAAACCAACATACTTTTATTATGCGGTAATATTATGGAGCCTGATAAACTAATAAGCATAAGTTGTCCCGATCGTCCAAAAGTTAGAACCTCATATCTTTAAGGGAATCATATATTTTCCTTCTTAAACAGAGAGTCAAAAAGAGAAGAACAACTAAACAAGAACATATTCTCATGAAGAGAGATGTGGATGTTAACTTATCAAGGTCAAAAGTTCAGATACCAAAACCGGAGAAAGTAGTCTCATGACTATAACAAAACCATTAATTTAAGATTACAACCAAGTTTAATCAGATGAACTCAAATCGAATCGAAAAAAGCAAATTTGAAAGGCACAGAGTAAGGTTTGCATAAGAGGAAAATGAACTACAAAAGGATACCTTATCCATGAGAGGAACTCTTCCATAGGGAGTTGATCTCTCAAAGTACTCAAAATATCGGTACCCTAATCTATCATTCACATGCAAGAGATTGTCTTGCTCGTACCCGCCATCTTCTGAAGAGCATCCATCCCATCTCCACAACTTATCATTTTCGCTCTCAAAGCTGCACGAATCGCTAAACGAATCCCTAGTCTCGCAGTCACCCGACTCAGGCTCTTCCCTGAAAAATTCATTTGAATGTGATTCTGCCATTTACAGCAACTTAACAAAGACAGATACCATTATTCGATTGTAAATTACACGTGATTCTGCCATTTACAGCAACTTAACAAAGACAGATACCATTATTAGACTGTAAATTACACAAAATTGCAGTAAGTAAAACTGATCAGATGGGCATAGAATCACCAAATCAATGTAGTCCAACTAACCCATATCAGAATCTTAGCATTTCAATTGTACAACAAATCACAACCAAAACTTGGTTGATTCCATATCGGTTTTAAGGCAATCAAAAGCACCATTTTACAAATTCGGTCACCGGAACAATCAGATTCCAAAAACCAAGCAGACACAGCTATTACAAATGCAATTTTGAACCTTAACACAAGAAAAATTACGTGTAAAATCTGACATTTATACCTGAAGCTGTTCACAGATGAATTGCTAGTGAAAATTTGGATCGCAGAGAGGTAAGGCACATAGTACTGCACAAGAGTCTCGCCGCCGTCCATGACGATTGGAACTCCGGCGCCATAAGCACTCCATTCATCATAGCAATTCCAGAGATCACTCAATGTGAAATACTCAACCTTTTCTCTCTCCCATGGATGCCATAGCCGATTGAGGTTCCTCATCTCAGACTGCAATACAATCAGCAGCAACACCAAACATTAAAAAAAAAAAAAATATATATATATATATATATATATATATATCAGCATGCAAATTGATAAAAAACCATTGATTTAAAAACAACCCAGAAACAGAAAATCAGACAGCAGCAAAATCAGCAACACCAAACATTCAAAAACAACAAAATCAGCATGCAAATTAATGAAAAAGTATTCGTCCAAAAACAACCCAGAAACAGGAAACTGAAGAAAATTTCAAACCTTGGGTAGGAATTGGGGTTGGATCACCGGGGTTGTAGAATGGAGGAAGCAGTCAAGGTTTGATTGCATTGACCCTTTGTCTAATATCATTTCTTTTTCTTTCCTCTGCTATTCTAGAGAGAGACAGAGATATGAGAGGGGGAGAGAGAGGGGGAGAGAAAATTTGGGTTTTCGCTCACCCTGAATCAGAGAGAGAAAAATGTTTCTCTCACCCCAACCCGGAAAACAGAACGAGCCTTATAAAAGAGAGAAAAAACAGAAAGAGAGAGGGAGAGAGAGAGAGAGACAGAGGAGAGGAGAGAGAGGGATAGAAATTAGAAAGAGGGGAGAGACTGAATGTCGGGATTCGATTTCCCTTGAAAAGTGAGACAAAAATGCGAAATGGGCCTACGAAAGAGTTCTATTTTTTGGAGTTTGGACACAGCAATTCACGGGCGAGTCTTCGCACCTCTGTTTTTTTTCCTTCACAGATAGATTCTTCGCTGGCAATGCTATCAATTCCCAACGGATTTCAGTTCGCCGGATAGTTTATATGCCGGTCAAAATTCCCCGGACACGGAATTCTCTCCCTCTTTTTCCGGGTTTTTGTAATCGTGTTTCCTTCTTCACCAACCTTAAAGAAAACTCAACCCTGATCAAAGTCACGAAAATTCAACGTTAAACCTTCAAGCTACATCAAGCCCAAAAATCAAAATTACGAGAGAACCCAGAAAAAAAAAAAAAAAACTGGCTTTCAATCGAATTTTCCCGAGAAAATGACAGAAAAATTTTGAGAAAAAAAAAAAGAGAGCTGAAACCCTAGTTTTCTGCGCGAGAGATTTCTGGGTTTTGTAGTTTTACAAACAAAGACACGATTTTCTAACAGAATTGCGAAAAGGATTCAACTTTCCCGGAAAAACAGAGAAAGCAAAGGAAAAAGTAACAAACAGAGAGTAACGGAGGAAAGAGGAAGAAGGAGAGAAAAATATCAATGGAGGTTTTTGTTCTAGAAAGAGCAAGATTTTGCAGAGATAAAAAGCAGAGAAATGGATTTGAATATCAACAATAATTAAGGTATCAGAGCACCAGAATTATCATTTATGAGACTCATCTGTCTCAATCAAAGGTCCCCTCCTCCCTCTAAAAAGATAAACTATATGAATTTATGAATTTCTTTTTCTGCTGCTACTGTTTTTAATTTCCCTGGATATTATGATATTTTTAAATCCAATAGGAAGATGCAGGCAGCTGAATATTTTTATTTATTTGTTCTTTAACTGGATGAGACTTGGTCCATGGCCTTGCTTGGTAAGTAGAATAATCATCTTTGAATTCTTCATTCTCTTTTCAACACTGCAATTGTCAGAAGGAAAATTGCAGAGGAAAAGGAGGGGTTGAGGAATCGTTCTTAATTTGGTTCTTAATATTGCCAAAAAATGTTGAAACTCTTTATCTTATTTTAAACCGAAAATTAATATGTTTTTAACTGAAAAACAGTTTTAACGAGTAGAATTATTGATTTATTTTTTTACTAAAGGAGGTGGATTTAAATAAGATTTAAAAGAATTTTTAAAGAGTTTACAAATTCATATGTATTTAATCAAAATTTTAATTGAATTTATGGAAATGGAAGTTTATGGGTATTTAATCAAGATTTTAATAAATTTAAAGCTTTTTTTTTATAATTTTTTCAAGCTTTAGGAAATTAGAACTCTCTCTAATATTTATAATAGTGTCGGCTAACAATCACATAGTCTAAGAAACTTCATTAGTGGCCAATATCTACCTAGGAGTTTGGATTTGCGTTTTCTTTTCTATGATTTATAAAGTTAGTCCAAAGAGTTGGTTTATGTTTCAGATTCTTCTCTTTCTATATCTATTGAGTGTCACCAATTTTTTTTAGAAAGAAAAAATATTAGATAAACTCCAATTGCGATCAAAGACGTCTGGAAAACATCAAAGATACATTTGAAATTTCACCAACTCGGTGAACTAATTTCTCTAATCTCACCTTGCATTCTTTCTTATTTTCCTTAAAAAATATCTCACCTTTGATTCATATCCAAAACCATTTACAACTTCTAAAATTATTGACTCAAAATGTACAAATATTCCATCTCTTTTAGCAATCACATATTAGAATTGCATGAATAATCGTTTTATTTCCTCATTTGCGCTCTCCTCATTTGTAACAACTAAAATTTTGCTCTCCTAAACAAACACAAAAACTAATTTTGCATTTGAATAAAGCATATGCCGATTAAATAAATAAAATAAAAAGGTAGTATTTGTGTGAACGTGAGGACAAAGTTTCATATCAATGTAGGACCAAATCATGCAAAGACTTAAAAGGAATTGGGCTACTCCCTATACTACCAATTGATTTTATGGCAGAATCCTAACTTCTTCATGGTATCATATAGTAGGTTGACATACATGTGAAGCTCAACAACCACATCAACCAATTTGTGTTGTCTACATGTTAGACTTGAAAATTAGTCACATGTGAGGGGGCATGTGAGAATGTGAGACCAAAGTCCTACATTGGTAAGAGACCAAACAATGCAAGGGCTTATATAGAGTTGGATTATTCTCGATCTTCCCAATTGATTTTATAGTGGAACCCTAACTTTTTTCAGTATCATCATATGGTCCCTAACACAATAAAAAAAATAAGCTAGCCCAATGCCTTCTATTTTAAATCATCGTATCATATTAAATATGGTTATGGTGCCAACAACAACATGTGACTTTCGTTTATAATGTGAAGAAATTGACAAGAAAATATAGATTTTAGGCCTAGGAGCAAGACTCTACATTTTTTTTTTTGTAATTATCTTATTAATTACTGCTGTTGTTCCGTAGCTGCAAAACATTAACTGGTTAATTTCACTTATTAATAATATTATCTCATATCACAGTCATGTTCATAGCTGCGAGGAGAAGAAGCAAATCTTGGCATTTGGGTAACCTCGTGAACGTAACAACAACACTGTCACAAAATAAGTAAAATACGGCGACGTAGAATGTCTGTAACTCCCCTTCCCCCTTTAATATACAGAAGCAATCAGCTTTGAGTATATACATTGTTTATCTGGTTTTTTTTTTCTTTTCTCAAGTAATTATTCAACGGTATGAACAAGTAGATAGATATCCAGTACGGCATGGAACAGGATAGTGTTGATAAGCGAGTTGATGGAGTGGTCCCTTCCGGTTTGACGGTGGCATTGTGTTTTTGGGTTTTAGCTGCAATGATTTTTCTTTTATTTATAATAGTTGCACATTTGACCTCACTTTAAAAAAATTGGTTTGTTTTTTTTGTCAAATATATATGTGAAATGTTCATATTGCCCTTCATTAATTAGAAAGGGGGGAAAAATGCAGCGACGTCCTAACGAAATTCAACGACACACTCCTCTTTTCGATCTTGAACCACCGATCAAATAACAACATCATGATGCCATAATTAGACTTTAACAATTTTATTGACAACCAAAAACTCATTTTCAATGAACCCTATTTAATTAAAAAAGACTTACATTTCAATTTGATTTAAACCAAAATTCTTAAGATTTCAAACCACCATTGCAACAACAATAATTTGATGTCACCACAACAATACTCCCCTCCAAATCTTCGTCCTTCTCTCTCCGCTCGCACTTTTTATTTTTTCTTTCTCTTTCTATAAGAGCAAGTCCACCCTTACAGACTTTGTGTCAGCACCCAGTGCATTTATCTACTTAAATGAACAGTAATATATCCCAGTGAACAGTAATAGGTCAAATCATCTTCATCCCTAAAAATATGTTGGTATCCAGTCAATCTAATATTATATTATTTTATTCATAACAATTAATATTTTATCATTTAATTTATTTTTTCTTCTTTCTTCCTTTCACTCTATGGTCCTTTCTTTCTCTCTCTCTCTTCTTTCTTCCTTTCACTCTCTGGTCCTTTCTCTCTTTCTCTCTCTCTTATCTATTTTTTCTGCCTCTCTCTTTTCCAGCTCACTACCGTGAGCTTGCCTTCTTCTTCCTCTTCAAAATCTTCAACAAATCAAACACAAAATATTATTTTTGTAATCCCTGGAGCTCAAGGAACCCAACCATGGCCTTGCATGCGACATCGGTGCATGGTGCGAGGTCCTACCATTGAAGCCGAGAGCTTGAGCTCTCCTCAGATCTCTCTCCCTTTGTTCGCTTTGCAGGTCCAAGGGTTTCGGTGCTACTAGATCTCTCTCAGCGATTCGAATCCCTCTCCGGGTTCGAACGCTCTCTCTTTGTCTCTCTCTCTCAGCGATTCCATCCATGATGTCTCTCCGGAACGAGACACGAATCCTTGACCCCGAATAAAAGAAAAAAGAAAAAAAAAAGTGTCTGACACCACGCTGGCGTCAGCATGGCATCAGATGACCCGGTCCCCAGGTTTGTCAATTTTGGGCTGGCCTAGAGACCAGCTTGGGCTGGGTGCCAGTCAATCCCATGGGCTGGAGTGAATTGGCTGTGTGCCGGGCCAATTTTTTGACTGGGTGCTGGGCTATTCCACCTCTGGTGGACTTGCTCTAAAGGAGTCAACACAAGATGTTGGTATAACTTAATCATGATCGTTCAAATAGAAAGAAAGGAAAGAGAAGAGAAAGAAAAAAAAAAGAGTAGAGAATCCTAGGCCAAGATTAAGACACTTATTAATTTACTTCCTAAATCTTAAGTTTAGACGACAAATTTTTTGGGGTGAGATATGTCATTTGGGCAACATCTTTCACGCTTTCCATGTTTCCTTTTAATATTGAAGCAAAATAGAAAGACTATTTTCTCATTTATACTACTTGAAACCTAGCTTAATTAATCTAATGGGTAGTTCCCAATGGCGATTTGATATAGTGACACTTAATTTTCATTTTGCTAAAGAAAATGTTAACTACTGAGTTACCAAGTGAATTTATAACTATGCTGAGTAAAATTGTGATACAGACTAGTTAAAAGAAACTTGAGTGATGTGGTTTTTATTTGTTTGGAAAATTTATTGGGAATGTCACATTAAGCACTACTTTGAGCGCTTGGGTAATTAGGACGGCACAACTCCCATCCAATATGTGGGTCAGTTGCAAATCAACTCAATTTATCTTCAAGAAAATCTTCAGTCTAAATCATATAAACGATCATTATAACATGAATAATGAACAATTCAAAAAACCTCATTGCATGGGTAGAACTCTCAGGTAAATAAAAATATATATATAGGATCAGGATCGAGAAATACATGTTTTGACACATATTTTAATACACATGTTGAAGAACTATTACCATTGTTCTGACTGAAGTAAAAATGAAGATCTGTCACACTTTAGGTGTCAACGAACTTATACAGTAATTACTGAATTTCTATGCAAAATTTTTGTGACATGTCAATATATACATGCAATATTTGTCGTTGTCACAGAAGAAGAAAATGACGCCAGGGATGTTTTTATGTTTGCAACTGCAAGCTAGTAGTGCCACATTTATTTTCTGGCAATGGCACTGTAATTGTTTATGCATGTTTTCAGGTACCTCCTCCATCACTAAACAGTATTAGAAGCAAGCAACCTACTTCAAAAGGGACCCGTCTGCAACTTATTTTTTCTGCATATTTATTTGACGTGGTCTTACCTATATATATATATATATATATATATGTATCACGATAATAATCTGGAAAGAAAACAAACCCTAGTTGCCCCCACTTCTTGAATCTGATGTCTGCTAGCACTTAAAAGTGTAGCCGAATTGTTTGAAACTGAAATACACAAGTAACCAAATAAAGTGTTGCCTATAACAAACACTGGCTAACAAGAACAAGCTACTTCAGCACTGTTTTGGGAAGTTAATTAAGGGATCCTAGATGATAATTAATTTCTGAAACTATATATATTACAAAATATATAATTAAAATTTGGATGACAAAGACTTACAACTTAATTGTTTCAATCGTGTCATCAATTTTGAAATGGGTAGATATGTGTAACTGTCGATGTTGGTATTGCTAAAAGTTGATAGGAGAGTACATTTTCGCTCAATTTTTTCAAGTAAGAGGTTGCATTAATTTTCCATACCAAATGGGTTTTACTGTTTTCAGTGCTCTCGGAA